GGAAGGAAGGAAGGAAGGAAGGAAGGAAGGAAGGAAGGAAGGAAGGAAGGAAGGAAGGAAGGAAGAATGAATTCTGGGATTTGAAGTCCATAGTTCTTAAAGTTGCCAATTTAAATTATAATCCATGCATGTTGCAAAAAGAGTGGAAAGGGAGAGGGAGGGAGGGAAGAAGGAAGGAAGAATGAATGAATGAATTCTGGGATTTGAAGTCCACAGTTCTTAAAAGTTGCCAAGGCTAAGAAACACTAAAATACCACAATTGCTAATCATTCAGGCTTGTTGCAAAAAGAGTGGAGAGAGGGAGGAAAGAAGGAATAAAAACAAGAAAAGAAAATAGGAGGGAAGGAAGGAATAAAGAGAGAATGAGAGAAAGAAAGAATGAATTCTGGGATTTGGTCCACAGTTTTTAAAGTTGCCAAGGCTAAGAAACACTAAAATACCACGATTGCTAATTATTCAGGCTTGTTGCAAAAAGAGTGGAGAGCGAGGGAGGGAGGAAGGAATAAAAACAAGAAAAGAAAATAGGAGGGAAGGAAGGAAGGAAGGAAGGAAGGAAGAAAGAGAGAACGAGAGAAAGAAAGAAAGAACGAATGAATTCTGGGATTTAAAGTCCACAGTTCTTAAAGTTGCCAAGGCTGACAAACACTAAAATACCATAATATTATAACGGCTACTAATAGAACTACAATTATAATTCATGCATGTTGCAAAAAACGGAGAGAGTGAGGGAGTTGGGAGAGAGAGAAAGGGGGAGAGAGAGAGAAATTAAAAAGCAAAGAATCAGAGGATAAGATTCACCTACGTCCGCCAGCAAGCCAAGATCGAAAACAACTCGTATACAAGCGTTGCCTCCTAAGGGAGACAGATGTGCAACAACCCCATACACACACACACACTCCTGCACACACACTCACACACACACACTTTTGTAAACAAGCACCACGGTGGAAGCTGCCCATCGCACAAGGCAAGGTTGACATCACCCGAGGAAGATCACACATGCGCGTGAATGCACACGCATGTATCAAGGCACTCGAAATGGATGTGTCTTTAAAATAATTAAAAAGAAACACACACATACAGGGCACCCTCAAACCACATACAAGCTGCAAAAGGCAAAAAAAAAGAGAGAAAAGGGATAGAAATTCATGCTCGCACGCCCAAGCCCGTTGCACGCACAAAATCCAGACCTGTGCACTTCCAATAGATATATAGATATATATGATGATAATAATAATAACAACCACCAGGCAGGGTGTGTGCGTGCCACCTTTCTTGCCCCCGTTGTGGGAGGCTCACTTTTTTTTTACACACCCAGGCAGAATTGGTGTCAGCTGCAGAGCCCGCCCCACATTAAACGTGCCCCACATTCGCCAGCAAAAGGGGGACCAACCTTAACCAGGTCTAGCCCAGATCTAGCCCTATAACCCCAGATCGCCCATCTCTTCATCATAAAAACACCCTGGGCAAAATCTTGCCAAGCCAGATCCGGACGGTGCATTTGATGGGCAGAATGTAGAAATATATATATACATATATCTATTTCATGTCGTTTCATTTAACGACCGCCGCATGCAGGAAAAAGCCCAAAGCAACAGCTCTTCACACACACACACACACACACACACACCCCTCCTGGAGAATAATCCCCCACCTCACACTTACCAGGTGTGGATTCCCAGTCTGGAAAGGCGAAGAAGGGGGGGGTGGAGGAAAGAGCCACTCGCTAGATCTTCTGAAAAGGCACAGATGTGCTTCAGAGACACACCCAGTAGATCGATGGAGGGGGATCTCCGCCGGGAATACCGCTGGTGGGGGCTGGGGAAAAACACAGCCCCATGGAGGAAGCAGGAGAGGGGGGGGGAAGTAGGGGAAAGGGAGTCCTGGGTGGGCTTAAAAAGAGCTCCGAAAGGTAGAATGGGGGAGGGAAAGAAAAAAAGGAGAAGGGATCAGGCGAAGAGGCAGACGAATAGCGGATGATGGAGGGATCAGGAGGAGAAAAAAGCACGGGACACGGCTGGGCTGGTGGTGGAGTGGGGGGGGGGAGTTGGAAAAGAGAGGGATGGCTGGAATGAGACACACACACAAACACACACACAGAAGGATGGAGAGAGAAGGATGGAGAGAGAGCGAGAGAAGGATGGAGAGCTGAAATGAAAGCCGAAGCTGAATCAGCAGAGAGAGAGAATCCACCGAAGGCACTAAGCAAAGAGGATCTTGTTTTGGGGGGGGGGAAGAGCCCTGATCTGTGCCCCCACCCCAGATTTTTTTCAATTTTTTTTTTGCAAAAGAATAATAAGCACTCGGCTGGACCGTTTTCCTCCCTCCCCAGCATGGAGACACAATGAAGGGGAGGGGGGGGTTTAAGGCGGCAACTGGCTGGCTGGGAAGGAGGGGGGGTGGGTGGGACGATGATGGGAGGAATTGGACTGGGGGGGGACGTTCTCCTGCCTCTCCCCCCCCCAGGAGGCAAACCAAATCAGAAAGGAAGGAGGAGGAGGAAAAAAAGAAGAAGATAGGATCGGAATTATTCCCGATGCGAGAGATGGCGGAGGGGAAGTCCCTTGGGAGCGGGTAGGGGGGAGATGGGGAGATGAGGAAGAGGGGGGGCTCCCTTGGGTATGCCAACCAGCCCACCCCCCACCCCAAAGAGAGAAACAACCCCCCTCCCAAGTGCAGAGGGAGGGGTTGGCACCAGATCCGAAAAAGGAGAGAGAAGACTGCGGATTGTGTTTTTCTGTCTGGTGGAACCCCTTTTTATGGGGGGGGGGAGGCGCTTTGGGGTTCCCTTCCCACGCATCCCCCCCCCCGAAGAGAGAAACAGACCCCGACAAAGGTGTGATTCCAAAGATGTGTTTATTTGAATGATTACACACAAGGCACTGAGGCAGAGCGACAACGAGCACCAGCGATATTTCGTACCCCCCCCCCCCGATTTGGGCGGCTCCTCCCAATCTTGGAGCCGGTCCAAGCTGGTTTCCCCCCCCCTCCAAAGACCCTCCCCTAATTTCCCAGGAAGCAATAGGGAAACCCCCTCTATCCCCCCTCGATATTCCCTCCGCCCCAACCTCCAAGAGGTACGGTGTGAAAACAAACCAGGAT